GGAGACCACTGAGCCTAACAGACTAAGGCCCAGAGAGGTGAGGTTAGCTGTCCAACGTCACACAGCAAGTCCATGAAAACGCCCAGTGAAGTCATACCACCAGCAAATAATTTTTGAGACCCATATATGTCCTGGGCACTGTTCTAGGCACGAGGGATACAGCAGTAATCCCAACAGACAAAAATTTCTGTCCTGGAGCTGACAGTCTAATTGAAGGAGACAGACAATAAAATAATAAATTAGTAATATATGTAGTGGGTTGGATGATGGCAACCTGCTGCGGAGAAAAATTAAGCAGGGAAGGGGAATAAGGAGTGTATTGTGTGGGTGCAGTTTTGAGTAGAATGGTCAAAAAAGGCATCACTAAGGAGTTGGCAGTTAAGCAAAGACTTGATGGAGGTAAGGGAGGAAGACATGCGAGGATCTGGGGGAAGAGTGTCCCAGGAAGCAGAGCAGAGGCTGCAAGGCAGGAACGTACCAATTGTGTTCCCAGGAGCAGCAAAGGAGCCGCATCACGTATGAGCTTTGCAGGCCGCTGTAAGGACTGTGGCTTTTACTCCCATGAGATGGAAAGCCATTGGAGAATTTGGAGCAGAGAAATGACATCATCTGATCGAACAAAAAAGTCTGAAGCTACTGCCGTTCATTCGTTCATTCATTCACTCATTCAAGCCTCTCCGTTGCCAGGCATCTGCTGATGACAAGCCAGACACCCCCAGAGGGAGCCATAGGGTACCTGAGTGTGTATTTTGTGCCAATGGATCAGAGAGTCCCAAGCCAGGAGAAGGGAGGCTGGGCCGTGGCCTTCCCCTACCACTTGCCTTCGCTCCTCGCCTGGCAGCCCGGGGAGAAGGGCCCCAGGTAGCTGCAGGGCTCCGGGATCCGGAGGCTGCTAGAACCTGCAGGTTATAAATAGCAGCTCCCACGGCTGGGAGTCAAACTGCTCCGTCTGAATGAGTCAGAGGCTCAGGGCCACAGCATCACTCCCCCACCCCACCACTCCATCCCGGGCTCCCTCGCTGACCTCCTGATCGAGGCCAGGCCTCTGCTTCTCACCATGGCCCTCTCTGGCCCTGTTACTGTCCCTGGGTCCCAGGCTCTACCTTCTGCAGCACCAGAAGGCTCGCTGGCTCTCTAGTTCCGGGAGGCAGAATTGTATAATATTTAAAAGCTCAAGATCTGCTCTTGGGCCTACCTGGATTTCAGGCCCAGCTCTGCCACTGCCTGGCTGTGTGACCTTGGGCAAGTCACTTCACCCCTGGGAGCCCCATATTCCTCATTCATGATAATAATAGTATTATGGTACTAATACTATTATGATACGGTGGTGTTAATAATAATACCTACTCCGTGGAACCCGTGTGGGGATTCAACGAGACTCACCCATAGAGGGCTCAACCCAGAGCCCGGCACAGAGCAGCCGTTAAATATACGTGATTAATGGAGTGGCAGTCCCTGTGCGCAACTAGATTATAATCCAGAGAAGGGTAATCATGAATAAGAAAATGGCAGCTTTCCTCTAGTCCACCAAGCATCTTCCACGTGTGAGAAGGCTGGGTCCCTGATATATAACTGCAGTCTCTCTAATCCTCATATCCAAGCAGATTTCACAGGAAGAAATCTTCCACCTTACACAGGAAGAAACTTGAGACTCAGAGAGAGTGGGTGACTTGTCCAAACCATACGGTATCCGGTGAGGCAGAATCTGACATCAGCAGAGAGGCATAACCATCTCCCCACTGGCCCTCTGGGGGCGTGTGCAGCCCAGCCCACCCCATGCCTGACGTGCCACTGCATGGAGATGGGGGGGGTCGAGGGAAAGAAGAGGGGCAGGTGGGCACAGGTGCCAGATATCTCTGCTTCTTCTGACCATCCCTCCCACCTCCTGAGGTAAGAAGCCCTTTGCCACCTCTCCTCCTTTGGGTGAGACTGAGTAAAACTCTCTCTGACTAGGTGGCTCCCTAAAGAAGATCTGTTTAATGTTCATATGTTACACACATTGTTTAAGGATGAAGGTGATGGTGACATTTTGGCTTCCCTGACACCCCCGCCCACTTTGATCCTGCAGGGTTGTGTCTCGTCATCCTCCAAAACCCCCAGGTTCCAGACAAATCTCCTTAAGTCCCCTCCCCCACCATGCTGGAAGCCTTATAAAATAGTAGAAAGGGCGTGCCTTTGTCGGGGAGACAAATCGGGACTCCCTCCTGGCTCTGTCATTTCCTAGCTGTGTGACCTTGGGCAAGTCACTTCACCTCTCTGAGCCTCATTCATGTATCCATTCATGTAGCAACTTCACACTTAGCCACATGGTTGGAAAGAAAGTGACATCCATTCTGAGACCCCAATGATGAGAAGGAGCCAGATGGGAGACCTAGAGGCCAGGGAAGGGCAGGCACATGGGCCTCAAGAGGGCATTGGCTTGGTGTGTGGAGCTGGTATGGTGGGATAGGACAAGCCAGGGGAGAGAGGGAGCTGAGGTCAGAGAGGTAGGCAGGGGCTAGGTCACAAAACGCCCAGTGACGAGAATCCTAACTTCTCACACTTGTGCGCATTTGGTCAGATGATGCATAAATTGAACACAGGACCTGGCATACAGTGGGCGCTCAATATGCAGGAACTATTGTGATGATGAGTTTTCCTTGTCCTCCTCCCAGGGACCTTCATGTCCCTCCCCTGCCTTTTACCCCCTTAACCCCCTCTGCCTGTCTCTGGTCCCGAGAAAAGGACGAGGATGTCTGCAGGGACCACTGCAGGAGGAGGACGCAGTCCCCACTCTCTCCCCCCACCACCTTCTCCAAACCCTCCACCGCAGCCCAGTGATTTTCCTGCCTCTCACAAGGCGATTTTATTAAACATCTCGAAAAAATATTCTCTCACTCCCTCTCTCTTTATTTATAAAAATCAACTTAACACCCTGCTCCTTTGTTCTATTTGGAAACTGGAACAGCCTGGTTTATATTTAGCCGAAATCCTGCTCCTTTACCCACAGATTCCAGCACAGCCCGATGAGCCAGAGGGGCTAAGGAAGGAGGAAGGGGAGACGGGGCTGGGGAGGAGAGGGCACCAGGAAGAACGGAAGGCGCTGTCCCCCGGAGGCCCAGGTCTCTGCTGAGCCCGAAGGACCCAGAAAGGCAGGGGCTGAGCAGTCCTTCCCAAGACATGGGGTGTTCCAAGTCCAGGCTTTGCGCATCACTCTATCACTCTCTAGTGCTATCCAGGTATCCCCAGAAGAGAGACAGGGGAGACAGAATGTGAAGAAGAAAGACCCCACCCTAATCTGGAACCAGGCTTGGAAAGACAGTCGTTAAGGGTATGCGTCTGGGTTTACATCCAAACATTCCTCTGCCCCTCACTGTTGGCTGTCCGGGGGGAAGCTGACATGCTCATTACAGTGCCTGGCATGTAATATGTGCTTGATAAACAGTGGCTGTCATTATCAATCACTGTGGGCTGAAGGAAACCTCTCAATTCCTCAAATTTCAAGGCTCCCCTCAAAAACTGCTTCTTCCATGAAGCCCTCCCAGATTAAAATTCATCTCTTCAGCTAACAGCACTGGGCTAGACACTGGGGCTATGGAGACAAATGATCAGGAACACACAGGGACTCCTGTGTGATCAAAGATGGACGTACACTGGGGTGGGAGGGTATAGCTCAGTGGTAGAGTATAGCTTAGCATGCACGAGGTCCTGGGTTCAATCCCCAGTACCTCCATAAGGAAAAAAAAGATGGACATTCATAATTGCCACAGAGAGGGCTAAGTCCCAGAAGATTCTTATTGGTCTATTTGGGCAAAGCCAGTCCTCCTTTGTTCTCCACTGTATCTGTGGAGGTAAAGACAGCACCTGGCACATGGAGACACAGCATAGAAGAGTAGTTAAGAATCTGTCTGGGTAAAGAATCTGTGGTGTGTCCAGACAATGGAATATTATTCAGTCATAAAAAAGAGTGAAGTACTGACACCTGCTACAATGTGGATGGACCTCAAAAATGTTACGCTAAATGAAAGGAGCCAGACATGAAAGAGCACTTATTGTATGATTCTGTTTATATGAAGTGTTCAGAATAGGCAAACCCAGAAGGACAGAATGCCAACTGATAGTTGCCAGGACCTAGGGAAGGGCAAATGGGGAGTAGTAACTGCTTCTTGAGTGCATGCTTTCCTTTTGCAGGGATTAAAGATAATCGGGGGCTGGATAGAGATGGTGGTCGTGCATTGCCACTGAATTATTCATTTTAAAATGGTTAATTGTATGCTAAGTGTATGTTCACCTCAATTTAAATATATATAGCTGGGTTGACTTCGTGGTCATGTCGACTGATATAAAAAAATTTGATAAAATTAATGCCTAATCATGATTTTAAAACAAAAACAGACCTGAGCAGTGTCTGGATAGAAAAGAACTTCCTCAACCCGTTAAAAGGCAGGGTTTCAAAATACATATGTAATGTTGAAGATCTAAACCCTTCCCCCTCCGTGACTGGAAACAAGGCAAGAACACCTGCTCTCACCACTTCTGTGCAACATTGTGCTGGAGGTCCTACCGAGCCAGGACAATATGGCAAGAAAAGAAAATGGGAAAAGGACAAAGTTAAGTTGTCTTTATTTGCAGATGACATGATATGCACGTAGAAAACCCTAAGGAACTTACAAAACAAACAAAACTAGAACTAATTTAACAAGATCAAAAGACACAAAGTGAATGTATAAAAATGTATTTCTCTATACAGTCATCCCTTGCTATCCACGGGGGATTGGTTTCAGGATCCCCTGCCCATGGACGCCAAAATCCATGGATGCTCAAGTCCCATACATAAAATAGGGTAAAACAGTTATCCCCCTGTATCTGCAGTTGCAGAACCTGGGGATACAGGAGGGCAAACTGTACTAGAAATGAAAAATTGAGATGTTAAATGTATAAAAACATTTCTAATAGCTTCAAACCCCCAAATATTTAGGGATACACTTAACAAAACATGCAAGTTTTGTACTCTGAAAACTACAAAACTTCACTGAGAGAAATTAAAGCTCTAAATAAATGGAGAGATATACTGCATTCAATATAAAATGTCACTTCTCCTCATATCGATTTCTATTTTCAGTACAGTCCTCATCAAAATTCCAACAGGGCTTTTCTTTTTTTTTTGGTGGAAATTATCAAGTAGATTCCAAAATGCACATGGAAATGCAAACAAACTAGAGTAGCCAAAACAATTTTGAAAAACAGGATCAAAATTGCAGCACTGAATGTTACTTGATTCTGAGAATTACTATAAATCTGTAGTAATCAAGACAGTGTAGTAGCAGCATAAGGATAAACATCTAAATCAATGAAACAGAATAAAGCCCCAAAATAGATCCACATACATACAATCAATTGTTTTGCAGAGGTGCCAATATGATTCAGTGAGGAAAGGAAGCTGACATGGGAACGTATCTGTTCAGAAGGAAAAAAAATGATCTGTGACCCCTACCTCACACCATACACAGAAACGAACTCAAAATGGATCAGAAACTTACATGTAAAGATTAAAACTATAAAACTTCTACAAGAAAACGTAAGAGAAAATCTTTGTGGCCTAGGGGTGGGCAAAGATTTCTTAGGACACACAAAAGCACAAACAATAAAAACAATTAACTGATAAATAGGACTTGTTTTTTAAAATAGGACTTTTCAAATTTTTAAACTTCTCTTCGAAAGACACCATTTAAAAATGAAACTATAAGCTACAGACTGAGAAAAAATATTCATTCTCTGTGTATGTCTCACAAAGAACTAAATAATAAGACAAACAATCCAGTAAAATACAGGCATAAAAATTGAACAAATACTTTCCAAATGGAGACATACAAATGGCCAACATGCCTATGAAAAGATTTAGTTGACAGGGAAGTACAAATTGAAATCACAATGAGATACCACTACACATAGATTAGAATGGCTAAAATTGACAAGATTGATGATATAAAATGTTGGTGAGTGTATAGAGTAACTGGAACTCACATACATTTCTGGTGGGAGTGTAAAATCATATAGTTACATTAGAAAAGCTTCTTAGGAAGTTAAACATACACTTATAATGTGATTTGGCAATTCTACTCCTAGTTATTTATCTGAGATAAATGAAAACATACGTCCACACAAAGAGTTTTACATGAAGTTCCTAGCATAACTATACTATGTAGTTTATTCGTAATAGCCCCAAACTGGAAACAATTCAAATGCCATTGAACAGGCGAATTGGATAAAAGATTTATGCTATATCTACGCAGTGGAATACTACTCAGCAATAAAAAAGAAAGAATCACCAATACATGTAACAATGTAGACGGACCTCATAAACATTTCCGTTTGACAAAAGAAGCCAGTCACAAAAGAGAACATACTGTAAGATTTCATTTATATGAAGTTTCAGAACAGACAAAGCAATCTTTAGTGACAGAAAGCAGGTCAGAGATCGCCTGGAGCGGGACCTAAGAGGACTGACTGCAAAGGGAAAATTTCGGGGGGTTAAAAATTGTCTATATCTCCACTGGAGTGTCTTTATTACATGTAAATTATAGCCCAATGACATTGAAAAAATATTCCATGTGGGTTCAGTTCCTGGCTTGGCTGTTTAATAGCTGTGTAATCTTGGGCAAGTAGTTTCACTTTTCTGTGCCTGTTTCCACATCTGAAAAGTGACAATAATAAGAATGAAATTCATAGGGGTTTTTTGTTTTGTTTTGTTTAGATAACCTAGGGACTTCAGAAGAATCAAACGCATGAATATATTGGGAACTCTGGTAGCCAACCTTCAAGAAGGCCTTCAGCGATTCCTGCCTTCTGGCATTCCTGCCCCCGTCCAGGCCCCCTCCACGATAAATAAGCTGACCTGTGAAACCTACAGGATATTGACAAAATGACCGTCTGAGGTTTTTAAGACTAGGTCAGAATGTGCATTGAGGATTCTGCTCTTGGACCACAACCCACTACACCATGAGGACTCTCAAGCAGTCCCCGGGAGAGATCTGGGTGGCAAGGAGCTTGAAGCCTCCTGCCAACAGCCAGCACTGGCTTGCTGGCCACAGGCATGAACTTCTCGAGATGAGTGGCCAACAGCTTGGTGGCAACCTCAGGACAAACTGAACCAGAACCACCCAGCTGAGCTGATCCCAAATCCTGAACCTCAGGAACTGTGTGAGGTAGTACATGTTTATTGTTTTAAACCGCTAGGTTTTACTTTTAAATTTCTTGTTTGCTTGGTTTTTTTGTTTGTTTGTTTGTTTGTTTGTTTGTTTTTTTGGTGAGAGAGCTGGTAATTAAATTTTTTCTTAACGGAAGTACTGGGGATTGAACCCAGGACCTCTTGCATGCTAAGTATGCACTCCACCACTGAGCTATACCCTCCACTAAGCCACTAAGTTTCAGGGTAACTTGTTACACAGCAGAAACTAACTGATATGAGCCCTACTAATAGTAGCTGACATGTACTGAGCATGCATCGTGGCACCTACTATTACTCTTACTATTACTAGCAGTAGGTGATAAGTTGATGCCTCTATCTGTCCATCTAAGAACACTCTCCACCTTTCCCACCCTGCTCTGTGCCCAAGGACACGGACCACTTCAGACTCAATACTCTCCCATATCCTTTGGCTTCTAATCAGGTTTGGTCAATGCGGAACCCCCAGGAGGAGGCGAAAAGGAGAAGGAAGAGGAAGGTCAGGACATTTATTCCTCTGCTCCCTACCTCAACAGAAGGTCACAGCTTCTCTTAAGGCGGCTCCTTTAACATCCCGGAACTGCTCCCTCCGCCCACTAGGCCCAGGGAGATAACAGCTCTCCCGCACTGCACTCTCCCTGGCGACTCCCCTACACCCTGCTCACACCTAGATCCTCCCTTTATCCTGCCTTCCTCAGTGCCCAATTTGAGCATGCCATCTGTTTCCTTCTGGGACTGACTGGCCACCCCCATTAACATCCCATACTTTAGAGAAGGAAGTAGAAAGTCAAAGAGAAGCAGGGAGCTATCTCAGAAACAAATGAGAAAACAACAGAGGCCACCCAGAGGCGTGCTCTGCAGACAGTGGGCACCAATATACAATAATGCTTGTACAATGTCTGAATGAATGAATGACGAGGTGGGCACCAATCTCCTTCCTTGAAAGCGAGAGGGACTAGAATTGGATGTTTGCATCTGAGCTACTTGGGACAACTGATGCCCTGCCCTCCAGCCCAGCCTGTGTCGGCTTCAGGTAGTCTTTGCCTTGAAAGGATTAACACAGAGCCTGGGGCACCAAGGAAGCAGCCCCCCAGCTCAAGGAGAGACTCAAGAGTTATTTTTGCAAAGCCAGCAAGGCCTGCGGGCGGCCCTGGCAGAGCTCTGAGCTGGAAGAAAGAGCCAGGAGCAGAGCGAACAGACAGGGACAGCAGAACCCACGCCGCATGCCTGTGATGTCAGCCCCACGCACTGTGACATAACACTGGGGTGGGGGAGAGGACGTCCTGCATTCCCTGGGGAATTTTTTAAAATTGTGTTAAAATATACCCACCATAAAATTTATCCTTGGGAATTTTTGAGCCAAGCTGAATGACACTGGGGACTAAGTTCCGAAAGGAACAGGGAGAGGGAACACTGGCAAAATATTTGCATCCAAATGGTGTGTGAGGTTTGGCTCAAGTCTGGAAAAATCCCAAAAACTGGAGGGAGGGTCAACACTGAGGCAAAATCTGGGGACCAGGATTAGGAAAGACTTGACAGCCCCCACCTCTACCAAATAGCGGGAAGAAGGCAGAGCAGTGGTGGGGTGGGAGGCGGGAACAGAGAGCAGGTGTTGGGCTCCAGTCGGAGAGCTGCAGGGGCAGGAAGGGAGCTGTGGGGAGGCAGCTAATGAACCCTAACGAACCATGCAATTGAAGGCAGAGGTGTTTGCAACTGGGGGACCGGGAGGTCAGAGGCAGCCAGAGGGTGCCATCAAGGCCCCAGAATAACTCCTGCTTCTGTCAGGAGACTCTGGAACTAATCAAGGTGGGGAAAATCCGAAAATCCATCTGAGAGAGGCTTCGAGGGCCCTTGTACCTCCAAGCGGGGATTGGAGGGAAGGACAATTAACAAAAGATGTGGTCTGCAGTGAGGGGCTGTGGTCCTCGAAGATGGTGCCTATGCTTCTGTCTTCGAGGACAGCAGCGCCATCTTCCATCTTCGAGGACAACAGTCTTTCTTCATCGCCCCCTCCCTTCCTTGGGGGAATGGCTCCAGGCAGAGGGAACAGCAAACACAAGGGTTAGTGTCAAAGATCTTGAGAGGTCCTGAGTCAGAGGGGTACCGTCAGCTACCGTCCGTTGAGTGCCTACTGTGTGCCCAGGGCTGGAGTACATGGCTCAGAATGTGAGCTCTGTATTCAGCCTGCTGGATTTGAATCCCTGCTCCATTTCTTGCTGATCTAGGACAAGTTGCTCTGCCCCCATTCTGAGCCTCAGTTTTCTCATCTGGAAAATGGGGATAAAATTCATTAGCTGAGAATAAGTGTTCGTGCAAGAGGACTTTTAATACAAATCTTCCCAGCAACCCCAAAGGGTGGGTTTCCATCTCCTCATCTTCCAGGGGAGTAAACTGAGGCTCAGAGAGCCCAAGGTCACATGGAAGTGTCAGAAGCATGTCCCTTTCCTAGGCCTGGCTGCCTTGGCCCCTCCTCAGTGAGGCAGGGCAGAGGGCAGTAGCCCGGGGCCCCTCACCCCACGCTTTCTCCAGGCCCCACGCAGGAAGGCAGGTATAGCACGGACACTGGAAACTGCCTCCAGGTGACATCTGTCAGGGGGGGATCCAGCTGGGAGAATGTTGCCCTCAGCTGGCTGTGGGACTTTGGTCCTTTCCTGTCTCTGGGCCTGTTTCCCTAGTTGCAGAACAAAGGGGTAGGAACTGCTGATTCTGGTCCCAGAGAGTCTAGATTCTTGCTCACTGCTCTGTTGTGGGCACCTTGTGCAGCAGGCAGTGAGGAGACGGGTAAGAGAGAGCCCTGGGCAGCTGCG